AGGTTGTTAATTTAGCCAAGGTCGGTGCACACGGACAGCCTTGCAACATGCCCCTTTTGGGCCAGATTGATGGGGAGGCCACGCCCTCCCCATACAAGCACCTAGGTCCCTCCTAAAGTTGTACGGCCAACTCTAAAATGAGGCTGGGGAAACCCAAAAGCATTCCCTGCTGGACAAGGCGCTCATGGCTAACAACATCGTAAAACCCCTCCAGGTCACAAAACAAAGTAATGAAGGTTTGACCCCTGAACTTATGATCCTCAGCCCTGATCAGGCGAGCTAAGGCCGGGTCCAGGCTGGTGTGGCCAGGCACAGCCGAATCAAAGCCCGACGTGCGGCTATACTCCTCCAGCCAGACGGCGAGGCTCGACCTTCTCAATTTTGTCCATATGCGCCAAAGTACCGACGTGAGAGAGATCGGTCTTTCTTTGAGCGCCGTCTTTGGCAGCAGGGCTACCTGCACCACCTGAAGCTGGAAAGGGATGCTGACCTGGCCCTCCATTTCATGATAAAGATCGGTCAGCATCTGATACCCCTGATCGGTGAGGTTCCTGACCGCCTTGTAGGACCAACAGTCTATGCCTCCCTTTTTGTTGCCAGTTTTGTGGCATGCTGCCTTGCAGTGGGAGCGTGCTTGCTTGCATGCGGGCCTCAGCCTTCAGGCGAGTTCTGGTGGCCGTTGATTCCACTTGGGGCCTTATCAACGTGCCATCCCAAATATGGGACCAAAACTCCATTCGAAGGTACGCCCGACACAGAAGGCTTTTGTCCCGATACGGGCGCAAAGTGGTCTGCTCAGGGACTTTGATGGCCTTATATACCGGCCCCAGATGAGCCTTCTCAGCTCCAACGATCCAGCCAAGGAAGTCGTCTTTTTCCTTGGCGGACTGAGTCTTTTTGGACTCCTTGGCAGCTCGGACAGCCTGCTGGAGTAATGCTTCTTTAAGCTCCTCCGCGCCCCATGGGTTTTGCAACCAGGTGTGGCATCTCTGGCTCCACTCCGCATCAGGACACAGTTCCAAGGATTGGGACATAACCTGTTGCGGTGGCAGCTGCTGCGCCCGGAGCCAGGACTCCCATCTGGCCCAGAAAGCGTGCTCTTTGCCATACCACAGGCATGTCCTCACTGGGGTCCCCATGGGTGTCGCTCTGCTAACCTGGCAATAGTAGCCTCTGCCTTTGCTGCTGCCCAGTACGCCTGTGGACTCAGCCGTGGCTGCGAGAGCCGCACACTGAACTGAGACAGGATCAGCAGCCTGAAACTCAAGCATATCAGCCTCTTACATAGCCTCATGTCAATGGCAAACAATAATTACCCAGGAGCCCCATATGCCTGCATGAATGAGTATGCCTGCTGGAATCAGGAAGGGGCTTCTGGTAAATAGGGTATATTCCAAAAAATGAGGAGTGTTGCGCCTTTCGGGTAGGTTTCCTAGTGATGGTGGAGGAGGGGGGCATGTAGCTTCACCAAGAGCAGAGCTTCGTTGACGCGCTGTCTTCCTTGGAGATCTTGCAGTCTGCGTGTTGATTATCTTGTAGTAAGATCTTGGCAAACAGCCCTAAGCATCTGAAACCCTGTCCCCTAGCCTTTTTGCACAAGCAGCAGGAATTTTCATGGAGGAACATATGTAGCCTTTGCAAGTACCAGGGAGTAGGCACCGGTACCCTAGTCCCATAACCCCCTGTCCCCACGGAACCTAGTCGTCCTCAAATATGGCGTGTAAGGAGAGTTTCTTCGATGCAGCACATCCTCACAAGCGCTTGCTGTTCGGGCCTGAGAATTTAGGTTCTTTGGTCCATGTTTCCTTCCTGAAGGGCCCTTGCCTTCGACACAAAGGTCTCAGCGATTTGCCAAGATTGCCTACGGGAAAACCAGCTCAAGTTGATTGCCACAGAACAGTGTACTGTGCTGCATGAGTATGAAAGCTCACTTCTGATGTTGTTTACACTGCTATGTCTTGTGAGTGACAGCAGCCCAACGGACCCTGGCGAACTCTTTGAAGCCTGCAATTACATTGAAACTGAAATCTCTCTCATGACAACTACAGCGTCAGCCCAGCACACGGTAAACTATGTTCGTCCTCCGGGCCCACCCGAAGAATTTGTTAGGTGTTGCCTGCCTCGAGGGCCCCTGG